GCCATTTATTACACCAATAAGATATTGTATTAAGATGTACTTGTAGATTTGTGGTTACTGCTTCTATGTTACGTTTTAATAAAAAAGCTATACACATAGACCGAAGGATAGTTAATAAACTAAAATAATAGAAAAGTTATGATCAGTTGAAAATAAAAAATAAAACACGAACACGATTAAAAGTAATATATAATTATTAATTAGGTATTTATCACATTTTATAATAATAAAAATAAATTGATTCATGTCGAATTAAAATTAAAAAATGTTTTGTTCATACAGTTATGTGATTCTGTTTAAAATAAAGGTTATAAAGTTATAAATTATAATTAACCCATAAATTTGTAAAAATATTGGATTTAAAATAATTTTCACATAATTTAAATGTATTTCAACAATTTTTGTAAATTTATTAAATTTTTGAAACTATGGAATAAAAGTTTTAATATTAATAACAATAATGCTTTATTTTCAAATATTTTAAGATCTTAATAATATGATGTTCTTTGTTGTAGGTTATGAAATGTTATTGCGATTTATATGTACACAGTGTTCAAAAAGTTCAGAGATAGATATGTATAGACGATATAAATCTACGTTTCTCAACTTTTAACTTAATATAATGGACTCTTTGTAGATATTTATAAGCAGTAATACTTAAATAATGTTTATTATACACTAAAATATTGCACATTTGTTAAATTATATGATGTGATATGATTTTATACAATACAGGTATACATTATTATATTATAGGAACTTACATACAAGACCAACATATTAAATTGAAAAATCACAACCTCTCATAATTTTATCAAGTAAGTTTGTTTAATAAAAAGTTATGTTTATCTTACTACTCTATTCTTTCTATCAGTATATAATAATCTATTCTTAAATGTTTTGGTTTAAAATTTAAATTGCTCATCTTTGAGATAGGTTCGAACAAACATTGCTTTATTAATAAGTAGGTTTATGTAGGTAGATAATTGATTCAATTACTAAAATCAATATGAACGAGTATGATAACCAATAGAATTTTGATGAAAGTTGAAAAGGATAATATGTAGGTAGTTTATGAAGTCAATTCGAGTGCGTTGAAGCACAGTTTTCAAAGATTTAAAATATAAAATTACGTTAGCTAGATGAGTATGAAATTATAATAAATTAGTCAATACTTCTGTTTAGATATTGGTTTGAATAAGAACTATGAATATACATTATACTTTTAAAAAACCTATACCCTGGATATATATTATGTACCTATATAAGTTTATGTTGACATGATTAAAAATATATGTATGAAACAGTAATATAATAATTTATACATTTAAAAAATTCAGTATTGATTTTTACCCTGAAACATATTCGGCTTAAGTACTCAGCTATAAAGTGTATGTAAACGTGATTTTTTTTCAAAAAAAAAAAAAAAAAAACCAGCGTAGACATTTTCGTAATAATGCAAAAAACCATTTAAATTTATTGAAGGAAAATAACTTTAATGTTAAAGGTATAAAACACTATACTTACATCCATTTCTTAAAAAATTGCATTATAGTTTATAATAGTTTACAAAAAGCTTACCAAATTTGTACGAATATTCACACTTTCAGTGTAAATACATTTAATAATCTTCAAATTTAAATCCCGTAAACTATTTCAACAATTCATAAAACACCGTAATGTTCATTTTTCATATCAGCTTAAATAACTAAAAAATATTGAGTAATTTTGCATAAGTAGAAATACTTTAAAGTTTAAGAAGATATTCTTTATTCTCTTAAAATTATATACGTAAACTTTAATATCGACAAATATAAGCCCTGGATTTTAAATGTTAAACATCTTTCATCATAATAAAATAATCATTTTCTGAATTCGTGGGTTTTTTTTAAGTATACCTAATTGTAAATTTAACTGTTAGTATTAGTGAATAAAACTCAGATAGTATTTTATAATACTTTTATTTTATGTAAATTAATTGTATTTGATTGATATCTAATTTAAAATTTAAATTTTAAAATAATTTTAATGCATTAATTATACTTTATTTAAGGCTATAAACTATGTTTTATCTTTATTTGTTCACAGAAAAAAACTTAGCGGTACACATTTAGTTTCTTTAGTGCTGCTTTTCATTATAATTTATGTCCATTATGAAATTGGATTGATTCAGTGGTGAAGGTTAGCTATCCTATCAGTTCTCATCATTTGACAAAACATAAAATTGGATACCTCCCTCAGATTAATTTAACGAACAAACTATACAAAATAATGGACAAAAATAATTCGGATCAATACAATAAGGTTATTTTTTCAATCGTACTAGATCTATAAATTTAGTTATAAATATGACCTGAAATATTAAAATAAAACTTTTCGAAATTTAATAACTGTAGATTTCATAAGCATATAAGTTAATCAGAATATTGTATTTAAGAGTAGGAAGCCACTTAATTAATAACAAGAATCTATAAATATAGTTAAATAATATTGATTATTTTTATTTAAAAAATTTCAAATAAATAATATCATATAATAATAATCATAATATAATATATAATCATAATAATAATATCGAATTATCCCAGATTACTAGTTCAAATTTAGTACCAAAAACTACCCTCAAAATTAAAAGTTAAAGTACATTTTCGGCTTTAAAACGCAGTGATAGGTACATCATAAAATAATCTATTACATTTACAAGTTACATTGGTATCTATATAGGGTTGAAAATATAGATTTTCGAGGTATTCACATAAATGTAACAATTATTTTTCAAATTAATAGTTTTAACTAATAGAAAATACTATTTATAGTACAATAAAAATATATGGCTGTGAATTATAATAGTATCTAATAGTAAAATTTTCAATATAAATATATGCCAAAGTAGAAGAACTTGAAATATCATTGAATGTTATTTCTCAAAACAAAAATATTGTTATGATGGTGGTTTGATATTATGTGTATATAATAAGCAAAAAAATAGGTCTTTTTTATACACCACATTTCAGACGACGCTATTGAACTTTTCACGGTTTTTTTTTCTTTTATTGAATTGTTTAAAATACTTTCTTGAGTTTTCCATTTCTGTAATTTTGATAAGATGTATAACGAGAGAAAACATGTTTTTACTGAAAATACTATTATACCTCAAATATTTTCCGGTTCAATTCAAAAAATTCAGTTACCATTAAAAATTTGTTTAGCAATTGCAATAAACAAAGTGCAAGATCTACACTGGGGCATTGTAGATAACACTTGGAAAGTACCTAATACCGGGGGAATTGTTTCTCATATGGAAAATTGTGTATAGTGTTTTTTTGGAGAACGAAGACTTGACCATTTACACGTTTATGTACTACAAAAGTACAAAATATAACTTTGAATGTGGTTTAACAAGAGGTTTTGCCTTGGTTATTTGTTAGTATAGTACTACATTTAGAGTTAAAATTAATATCGTGTAAATGTATAAACGTACTGTTCAAATTCACATTACGCATGAGTGATTTTAATATAGGCTCACGTTGGATGACACATTGTCGTACCACCCGGACTTGAGTGATACACGCTAAATATATAATCGTCTTCTCCCGTGCACTTTGGGAATGCCTAGTGAATATAATGAAATTCAGACGCAGTTTTTGATCGGAAATACTTTTATTGGCTTTAAAATCAACTATAAAATAAATACTTAGCAACAGGACTTTCGCCACACGTGCTACGGCAGTAGTAGCGTTAAATAACACAATATTATATTCCCTTGGCAAGATTAACTTCTCGGGCTCTACTTATGGTAGTCACTTGCACGCTAAAACATGTATTATATTATGTATTATACATCTTGTATTTATGTTATAATACTGTGACCCTATATGTTATATATATATATATTATATATATATAATATTATAATGTTTTTAGTCGTCTGTGTAGTGTATACGACACCACCGCAACCCACAAATCAAAACAGAAAAAAAAATGTATTTATTATTATAAATTATGTATATGTACCTAATCATTTTTTTTTTTTTTTTAGAGTAGGTGGTGAGGTTATCGAGAGATGGATTTCGATGGCTATATATAATTTTATAAACCTATTACGGATAACGCGAACCATTTTTCGAAAAACCGCGTAAAAATTGGTCCAAGAGCTTTCGAGTCTATTTATCAGCTCTGACGGATACATCAATATTTATTTTTATAATATATGTTATAGATGTATAGATGTGAAACCATTCTCGCAGCTGATTCGATAGCAATAAACGATTTCTATATAAAATATTTTTGAACATCGCAACTTTGCGAAATGCAATCAATACGCGTCATATTATTATAATGCTCAATAATATTTCGATATTGCGCACTGTCAATAGGTACTCAAACAGTTTTTGCCGATTTCCTATTCACAGTAGTAAGGGCTGCTACGGCTCTTAATATCACACATCCATTCCGTCCAGCTCCGATTCCATTACCAATACGTCACATCACGCGTTAGGTACTTGAATACACCGTTCGGCGCGTACACTGCGCTTATCACGACTTATAATACGAGTTACGAGTACCTACACACACACACACTCACACATACACACATATTATATTAAAGTACATATAGTACACGCGCAATCGTTGTAATAACATATAATATAGGTAAAGGAATATTATATTATAATGCGTATATGATATTAGTATATGTTATTACCATAGAGACAAAACCGTGTGAACTGATCTGTACGAAAACCCAAAGCAGCGGGTACCCCCCATACCACCCACCCACCCATCCACCCACCAACATACACCCACACGTGAAAGCTCTGAGGGGTGAGGAGAGGCCCACAGGTACCTACACGTTGTATGTGTGTATAATAAATCGCTCGCGGCCGCGGTCGCTGGTAGCGCCACTGCTCCCGAGCACGTTGGGCCGGGCGAACATTTCGCGCGTTCCGCCCAGCGCGCAGATATACGTCGCTATGCGCGCGAACACGCGTTAGCGCATACGCATTCGTCCACGCGCGCACACGGACGGACGAGTGTTCATCAACTTCTTCGCGGAGGCGCGCGATCAACTCCACAACACGTACACACACATACACACACACACACACACACACACACGCGCGTGTGTGTATACATAAGCGTATTCTCCCAGCAGCAGCAGTAGCAATAGCAGCAGCAGCAGTAGCAGCCGCCGCCGCCGCCGCCGTCGACAATAACGTCCCGTCGATCACGCTCGCCGGTCGTCCACAGAACAATCAAATACTATATCTGCCACCGCCGCGCGTGTGTGTGCGTGTGCTCATCGCCGCCGCCGCCGCCGTCGTCGTAGTCGCAGTCGTCTCGCCGGACTTTACTCGCTCGACGCCATCCCACCACTACACATCATCATCCGTTACCACTACCGCCACACAATCGTCGCCGCTAAAACAACCACCACAACCGCCGCCGTCGTCGTCGCCGCCGCCGCCACCACCGTTACCTCCACCACCAATTCCACACCGCAACCACCGCCGTCGCCACTACTACCGCCACATTAGATATCCTCCACTGCCGTGTAATAACCGTCATCATCACCGCCGCCTGTACCTATCCTCTCTCGAGTACCCGTTGGATGGCTAGCGACCGCCAAACGTAATAACACAATAATCGACTTGAACGTGAACAATAATAATATTATCGTAGTGCTTATCCACTCGGCGTGCAAATTCAGTGAATAATCATAGCCGTGATGCATTCATGCGTAATATTATTATGATTTCGCAGCAATACCTCCGTATGCTCGATTGTATACATTATATTATAATAAGCCTATGCATGCACTTAGGTAACGGCAGCCGAAATTCTTGTTCCCGTCAGACCACTGTAGAGGATAGTACTACGCGACTCATCCGGTACCAGGTCATTTAGAATAAGACTGCTGCCGTCGCTGCCTCCATCACCGCCATCACCGTCACGAGAACCACCTGCACAACCACCGACACCGGAACCGCTATCACTCGGTAGATCAACTACTGCAGCATCATTTAGCGTACACGCAAACAGCGGGCGCTTACAAATCGACAGTCAATCAAAGGTTAGTTAGATATCAATTCGAATGAAATATAATATTTAATTATTCGTATGAATAATATCTTTATAATAGAATAAGACCGGACATGATTGGGTGTACCTATGTAGTACCCATTTTACGTATATGGTAACTTATTAAAATGGCAATAAATCGACTTAAACTTCTAAGTTTATGTAAATATTTTCAAATTATTGTTTGTCTTAAGACGAACGATTAAACTCAAACGAAATCAGCGATATATAATATTATAATGAGAATTGTTTTAAAAAAGTTATAATCGCATAATTATATGAGATAACCACTTTTAAAAATAATTTACATTTTTTTTTTTTTTTGAGTTTGAATTTTGGAGGTTTATATGTAAAACTATGTTGGTAACTTGTATAAACACGAAATAAAAGATTTTACCGCATAAAATGCTGTAAGACTACTAGTAAATACAAAAATTGATATTCAATTTGTTTTAATAGTTTTAATATTAAAAGCGCATCTGCAGAATACTAAAATGAAGTAAATCACTTCAGATAAACTTGACTAATCCGTAATTTTTGAGTTATAAATAATATATAAACATTTGATATTATGTACAATATGTATAAATCATTTTTAATTGCGAATGATTTGATATATTTTTATGTCGATTTACATTATAATTGCCTGAGTTCGAATTTGTAAATCTTTATCTTAGTACGGGAATTAAAATTATTTATTATTAATGGTTGAAAGTCATCAGTTTTTATCCATAACTTATTTGTCATTGATTTAAATTATAATTGGATATTCTGCTACTACTGTGAAGACATTTCCTAATATGTTGATCTTTATAATGTAATAAGATTTTATATACTACAAGTGAACAGTTTAATATATTTCTTATTTACTAAAAACTATCTTTCTCTTAACAATTCAAGACTTATATGATTTTATTTCTTATATAAGGGGGGGGGGGTAGACATTTCATAATAAAAAAATACTCTAAAAAAAGTTTGAATATATATGCCTTAAAATGTATTATTAAATCTCTAAAATATGCATAAATATTTTAAAAATAAACCTTCTTTTTATTAGCGGGAAAATTTTGTCTCGATTATATTTATCTTTTAAAACAAATTTTTAAATAATTATATTTTAAATACACAAATACATTTATTTAAATGAATATAATATTTATCGGTTTTGATTCATTTGATATTTATTTTATAGATTTCTCTTTAAAAAATAATTTTAATGTTATTTATAAATTATAATTTTTAATTACTTTACTAAAACAAATATTATTATCATTATTATAAACCAAAATAATTGTATACATAAATAGTTTAATATAGTATAAAGAATACGCTTGTATATAAAAACTATGTACTCATATATGAGTAAAAAAGTATTGAAATATGATAAAAAAGAACTCTCTGTACAATGAAAAATATTTGTGTATCAGTTAGTTATTTTGCTAAAAAGATGCAATATCTCTTTGGTCCATAACCCTGGATTCATAATATTTCAATGTTAGGTATATTAAGTTTAAATAATCGTTTTTTTTAATAACTAAGAGCGAAAATGATCAAATTATTTAACCAAAAATAAAGAACTTCAATTATTGTCGTACCGTAAAACAATTAAAAGTTGTATAATTTCTCTGCGTCACGATAATTTTAATAATATAAAAATTGATTTTCATATCACTTGTGTTTCTCGTAACTTTTATAGAATGTTACATTAAATTCATTATTATTTTAGTTATATGTATAGACTATTCAAGTCACTTACTAGTAATAAATTCACAGCTGTTACCACTATGTTCACATGAGTTTGTTATTAACGTCTAGACGAATAATTTCTAAATAAATTGTATTTGTTTGTTAACAATACACGTAGTATTTTTTCAGTTACAATATTAAACCTGAATATTAAGGGTAGAGTTCTTCTATTTATCGACTAAAAAATGATAGGTGTTGAAAAAAGAAACCATATAGTTAATGGGAAGCCGCGTAACTATATTATCAGCTATATTAGTATATTACCATAAATTGATTTAACTGCCAAAATATAATTTTTCAAAGTGAGTGAGTATAGGTACATTAAATTTACAGACAGCTTTCTCAGATACAATTATCATTTGACTAATAATTCATAACTTTGTGATTGCATTAACATATCTTACATTTTAAAGATGTAATATTCTTAAGTTCTTTCTTTTATTCGATAAAGCTTGTGATTAATAGATACCGATTTTAGCATTTCAAATACATTTTTCTTCTTACAAGTAAAACAATGAAAATAAAAGAATTTCATCTGTATTTTATTTCATTGTTATGCATTTTTCAGTTCGTATTTCAAGATTTTTAATTTTTATAGGACCACAACGTCCGTTTGACACAATCGAATTTGTTGACGATCATTATTCTTTAAATATACCTATATTATTCTATCATATAAATATATAATATTATTAGGTATTGTATTTTGTAACAATTGCGACATTTTCTTAAGAAATTAATTTAAAAAATTTTCTCACTATTTTCGCTTTGCATTTGACGCTTGCTGCACGATAAATTGTTAACGGCTCGTGCAACAAGTTATAAATGTACTACTACGCGTATAAATATAATATAACATTAGTTATTACTACTTTTATCATAAATATCTTGTATTCACAATACAGCAAATCGTCTTGATCACAAGAGGTATTGTTACAAAAAAAAAACCTAGCCACGAAGAGAAAAATCAAAGATTTAAGTTAAAATATATGACAAGTGCAAAAACTTTATTCGATCAGATTTAGGATTATGGTACCCCATAGTGTAGATATTCCCAGGGGTTTTTTAAAAACTTACAAAGCACGTACAACGATAGCGCCGTCAACACGTACGTTCAGTTTGAGGTGATTTGAGCTAGAAATGTCTCAGAGAAGTAAAATTTGTCATGCATATATAATATATTATATTAAATTTTGTATATTTTATAATGAGAGAGAGGATATATTTTTTGTCTAACATGTCGAAAAAACGGTGTGTAGCGTGGCACACAAAACGTTTGGATTGCTTTTTGACCCGGTAACTTTTATACAATCTTTAAAGAGAAAAAGAAAAAAGGTAAATGTTTTTGTTATCGTTTTTTGCCCAAGTTTAAGTTTTTTTTTTTTGTCATTGTTTTGTCAACAAGTAGCGTATTATTGTTGTATCTTTGTTTGTGGTTACCTATTTACACAATGTTTAAATAATTACATAGAATATTAAATAATGGCATAGATAGTTTATTGATAATTTTTAATTGAAGCAACACTATAAAATGTCAGAATTTGCAATCAAAAAGAAATATTACTTTATTTTGGAAAAGTTATATAATTTTATTATATTTTAATTTTGTTAATGCTTATTGGTATAATGTGTATATATACCTACGTATCTTTTATAGACTGAAGTTATTATTTTCATTTTTTAAGTGTAAGCACCGTTATAATTCACATAAATCTAAATAAAAATATCACATTAATACACGATAACTAACAAAATGTAGATTGAATCACTTATATAATATTTTTGGATAAAAAGTGTGTCCCTAGGACCACGAAAGTTCCTTTGACGACATTGTTGGAAAATTTTTTTGTGTTACATTATATACTCATAGGTATGTTATGTATATTGTATCTTTCTTTATAAAGCCGTTGTTTTGTCACACGATGATCATTATTATTACTGCTATTGTAAGTGTTGTTTTTTAACGACCCGTATATTTGCGTAAGTACAGCATCGCATACTTATATCAGTAAAATGAACCGTGAAATCCTTGTCTTGAAGTGTATAGAAGTATCAGAAAAAGGGTTTTACTAAGAAAGAGTGGTTCTAATAATATGATCAATGCACATCATATGTGTGTTAGTCGAATAAAAGGAATATGAAAATTAAGACTCGCCATCTGTCGTAGGTATAATAATTAATAACTGCAGTATACTAAATTCCTATAGTTGAGTCAACTGTGACTTATGAGTAGTTGAATGTTCAATAGAAGAAAGAGACTGAAAATTCGCTGTCCATATTATATGAGCACACGTCAGTTAATAATAATATGTGTAGTGTATATAAGAGGTATATCAATTAATCCAGCCATATAAACTATTATGTACATAATACATATATATATATTTATTTATTTATTTACTTCTATTCGGTTAATAATAATAATACGCAATATATTATGATTTACATGGTTCCAGAAACGATGAGTAAAATCTTATACTGGGAAAATTCACTAATTACATTATGTATGATAAAAATATAAGTACTTCCATATTATAGGAATTCTTCCAATTGTATATTATTATACTCAATATATCATTTATAAAATTTGAAAAAAAAAAAATTACATAATTAAATTAAAATTAGTTACATGATACATAAAATCTAACTTCGTCAGCGAATATTTTTCAATCTAATAACAGTATAAAAAAGTACTGTTGATATTATTAATGAACAATATCCTATTTCTGATGATTTAGTAAGAATTTTATACTTTTATTCGAAGGTATAAATGATTACAACTTAAAGTGTTTCTTGTTAATACTCTTATACAACTTTATTTTTAACTAAACTCTGTTTTAGTTTTATAAGCTGAATACTAATAATCTCGATGTTTTCGACTTAAAAAAGTTTTACATAATAAAGCAAAAAACAAAAAAAATTAATCTTTTAAAAAATTAAAAATTATTCTTTAATTTCAAATCTCTATAAATAACACAAAAAGAATCAAAGTAGGTATTTATAAAATGATATCATGTATAGAAAATAATAGTATAAGCATTTGGTGAAAATTTCATGTTTTTATTTATATTTTCATTGTTGAATAAATATTATCTATTTTGTCAAAAATTGGTTTAGCATAAAATTTCTCTATTTTCTCCATTTTTTTGAAAATTTTAGTGCCTGTTTACTCTTGACCATCCAAAATTTTTTACTAGATATAATTGTTTAATTTAACCTGTCTTACTAAAAATTTCACACATATCA